ATCAAGATACGTAGTATTAACTATTGTTATTTTAGCCGTACATTTACTGATATCGATGAAATAAAGATGTTTTAGTTTTTATCGTTACGTCGTAACAAAGCAGTTAGCGTGAACGCTTATCTTTTATTATAAAATTTTCAAATGGAGTGATTTATAATCCTAAGGATCATTTCACGTTATTATTATTTAAAAACCATTAAGGGCCTAACGTAACGTCAGTGGGTCACGCAACAGGTTTCTATTGTTATTTTCTAATTAAATTATAACTAGCGAGTAGTGGCACCTTTTTATTATCCGACTGCAAGGAAAGGGTTATGTTTTTCGAGCCTATCTTCGTATGTTTATTTGTAATATTCTTTATTCTCTCATATCTTACAAACCACTCGATGGATTTCTTTAATTAAGGTGTCGTTAGATTCGTCTCATTAGTCCAAGTGTTGTTATATAGGTGACATAAAAAATAAATATATATGGGGTCTGCTAGATTCCATAATGTGGAAAAGAAAAAAACGAAAATCGACGAACTATGTTAAGTGGGGTATCGTTGAATAGTTAGGTATTTAAAAATTATTTTTAGGTTTCTTTCATCATTTTTCATTTTAAATAATAGTTTAAAGTTGGTTAAGAACCATTCTTGCTAATTTTCCTACTTAAAAAAAGTCGGAGATATACATACGAGTATGTATGTACATTGCACATCTCGCAGCAAGGATGAAACGTGTAGGTATGTCTCTGACTGCATAATACTATATTCCATCGTGAACTTGTTTTCATCTTTGTAGTTAACTTTTATGCAGTCGGGTTTTTATTTTTATAATTGATATTTCGCTCTGGCGAGTTACAACGCCCTATATTCGTCAAAGATTCGAATACGTACATGAAATTCACTCCACTATAAACACAAACGCTAAATAAAAAAATTGCGTTGGCCGGTATTCGAACCCACGACTGCCGGCATAGAATCAAAATTTCGACTACATCAGGCGATCATCTAATAAATGTATACAGGGTTAATATGGACAACAACATTCATCAACATCAGCGCCCACTCGCGACCGACGCGCGCCCGCCTATGGTCACTTGTTCGGGTTTTTGTGACATTGTTCACGTTAATGTCCTTTGTAACGACCTTTTTGTACAATATTGACACATTTTCCTTCCATTTAATATCAACTAGTTATATTGTATGTATATTTAAGTAGTGTTAGAAAGCGTTTACGCTTTATGAGCATATGCGTTGTTTAGGCGTATGCTTTTATGACATTCATCACTCAATACTCAATAGTGAATAGCGATATGAATGCTTTAAAAAATCAAGTATTTAAACTTAAATGGTCAAGTCAAAAGTCAAAGGTTAACCAGATGAGAATGAATAAACAAAGCTAGGGACTAGTGGGGCTCTACTTTCTTCTGGTAGCAGCGCAAGGGATATAGTGTAAAAATACGTCTGTATGTATGTACGTACATACATATGTATGTATGTACGTACATACATATGTATGTATGTATCTGTAGTAGGTAATCTTTAGTATTATATTTATAGTT